GAGCCTGCTTTGCATTCTGTCTCCCTCTCTCTCTGCCTCTCCTTGACTCATGCTCTGTCTCTATCTCTCAAAAATGAATAAACATTAAAAAAAAAAAAAGTTTGATTCCTAGACCTGCAGTCTGCTGGGAAGACAAAATGCTACCCCAAGGGAAAGTAGGCAATGGGCATTAAAAATTTCTTTTTAATTTTTTACAAATAGTTTATTGTCAAATTGGTTTCCATATAACACCCAGTGCTCATCCACACAAGTGCCCTCCTCCATGCCCATCTCCCCCCTCCCCCCCACATCCATCAGTCCTCAGTTTGTTTCTCAGCATTCAAGAGTCTCTCATGGTTTGCCTCTCTCTCTCTCCCCCACTATTTTTCCCCTTCTTCTCCCCCATGGTCCTCCGTTAAGTTCCTCCTAACCCTCCTATACGTGCAAACATATGATATTTGCCCTTCTCTGCCTGACTTATTTCGCTCAGCATAACACCCTCAAGGTCCATCCATGTTGCTACACATGGCCAGATTTCATTGTTTCTCATTGCCATGGAGTATTCCATGGTATAGATAAACCACATCTTCTTGATCCATTCGTCTGTTGATGGACACTTAGGCTCTTTCCATGTTTTTGCTATTGTTGAGAGTGCTGCTGTGAACATTGGGGTACCTGTGCTCCTATGCCTCAGCATTTCTGTATCCCTTGGGTAAATTCCTAGTAGTGCTATTGCTGGGTCATAGGGGAGTTCTATTGTTATTTTTCTGAGGAACCTCCACACTGTTTTCCAGAGGGGCTGCACCAGTTTGCATTCCCACCAACAGTGTAGGAGGGTGCAACAATGGGCATTTTGAAGTATGTAGCAAGTGATCATTATTTGGGTAATTGTTGCTTTAATATTTGCTTTTCTCTCTCCTTACAAGTTCCATGAGGAAGACACTATTTGTCTTGCCCATTGCTGTATCTTCAGTGCCGACCACTTAGTAGATGTTCAGGAAGTACTTGTTGGCTTTCTCATGCTCTCTGCCTCTCCTGCTAGCTTTCTCTGGGTTATCTTGTGAGGAGGTTTACACAAGCACAGAATAATCATTGATCTGCCCACCAATACACTTCTTCATCATTTTAATCCTATGCCTAACCAATGGTCATTATCTTTTAAAGGACACTATAGCCAGCTTTTAGCTAATTGTTTTCAAATCGATTAGGAGAGTTTTCCAAGTAGAATAATAATATATTCAGCAACTACTGAATCTTTACTTATAGGCCAAGTACTGTAAGTGCTTCATGTGAATCCTCTTATTTAATTTATATAATAGATATTATCATTCTCCCCAGTTTAAAGACAAAATGTGGTTTAGCGAGGTTGGGTTACTCTTCCTAGAAGGAAGAAATTATGAAGAACAAGGAGATAAAAAAACAACAGAAAGACAGCTATCCTGAGGATGAAGGAGAGCCCAGGAACATGGGGGTGCAAACTTCTTGGACCAGTAAGCACAGCACTCTGACCTCTGCGCTGTCTCCCCTCAGGCTGCCTGGAGACGTCCATGCTCACAGCGAGGTGCTCTGCAGCCCTGCCCTGGGTTCCATCCAGAAGTGAAGAAAATTGCCAACACAGGAATCAGACATGTGCTGTGAGGCCTGCCTGAAGAAGAAGGGTCACTGCCAGATCTACCGATATCCAGACACCTGCAGGTAAACATATTCTTTTCCAACTGTCCTTGTCCCCATGAAACAGATGTCTAGGAGGCATGCACACTGATGCACTGGGATCCCTGGTTCAGGCTCAGGTGGGTCCCTACAACACCTGGGTCCACTGTCAACAAAGATCGCCTTTACTTGTAAAATGGAAGCCATTGTGTTTTGTGTCTTTAGGGCTGCATAATAAATGCCCCCAAATTCAGTGGCTTAACACAACAACACTTGACAATTTGATTGCATGTGATTCTGAGGGCTGACTGGGACTTGGCTCTATGATTTTTCTGTTATTCTTGTTTTGATTCTCTCATACAGCTGTAGTCAGATAGGACCTGGGCTACAGTGTCCAGGGTAGCCTCACTCGCTCCCTTCTCTCTCTTCCTTCTTCCTTTCCCCTTCAAACCAACTTCCCACATACCCTCCAGATCTCAGCAGAAGTGACACTTCAAGCAATGTCCCTGACTCCAGGAGTGGACCCCTTCCCTTATACCTTGAACATCCCTTCAAAGCCTGCATCACACGTATGGTTTCTGGTTGCCTGTCTGTCCCCCTGGTGGATTTCAGGGAGGTAGGACCACCCCCATTTTATTCATCTTCATTGTTAAATACAGCACCCCACCCACAGTAAGTGTCAAATAAATATTTCAGTAAATGAATGAATGAGCAGTTGGAATTCATCTTCTAATGTTCAGGGGTTGCCATTTCTCCTGAATCCCAAACATACTCTATCTTTCTAGGTTCCGTAAAGTAAGTCTACACCAAGTGAAAAACGATGATGTATTACCTCAATTACCCCAACAATTCAAATGAAGCACTCCCTTCTAAATTGCTTATAAATTGAAATTGGTGTGTGAATATTATAAGAGTATTTAGATAATTCCTTCTGTTAACTTCTGTTCATTTGATTAGATGTATAGACATAAAAATAAAAAATCTTACCCTTGATAAAGTTGGATTTTTTTAAAAATCTGTATTTCTGCCCATTAGCTGATTGAGTTTTAGAGGAACAAGAAAAACCATGGTCAAATCTATGTCTGTATGGTTGAGGCTGGAGGAAATATTTCTCAGTTCTCAAAAAAATAAAATTTCCTAGCTACTTGGCTTTGGCACTTTCAGACTTTGCCTCCATGAATACACAAGAACTGTTTAAGTGAAATGTATTAATGCAAATACTATAATCTGCCTTGGGAAAACCAGCACTGGTAGAGAAACTTGGCTTGTAAGACAGTGTTAATTTGGTGATCTCAGCCAAACTTCTGATTTTTTTTCAAGGGTTTTATTCGGAAAAAGCATGATATAAGAGATAAAATAATGCAGATGAACGGTTACTCAAACCACATTAGAACCCAGGTTCGTTGAGTTTCTTTGCTGAAGACATTTCGATAAGCAGACACCATCTTTAATCTTTGTTTCTATTGGTGCTCTCTTCTTTTCAGTCCTTCCTGCTTCTTAAAATTAAACTGTGATGATTACTTGGACATTTTTAGAGCTTATTTATTTCAGTAGGAATTTTCTTTGAGCTGTGCCTAGGAAATACAGTTCTTAATATAGCTACTTGAGCCACAAGTTCAACTTGACAAAAGTAACCATTTCTGTTTATCAGTTTCTAGTCATGAAATACCCAGCTGAGAAAGAAATATATAAATGAAGTGTCAGGCATCTCTGACTAACTGACCCAGAGAGTTGCCTGGACTCACTTGCCTTGTATGTGGTTTAATTTCACTACCATCATTAGTATCCCTTTTTCATCATCTCCTTTCCTTCTCTACAATTTTTCCCTCATCTCTCTCCAGGATGGCTGCAATTTCTTCCTCTATCCTTTGTAGATAGGGTAGTCTGTGATTTTGAAGTTATGTGATACTTCTAATATTTGTTAGGAGTGTCATTAACTGCCTGATTGTGTATTGGATGTATACTCACAGGAATTTAGGGACCATGTCTGCTCCATCTCTGCTATATCCTCATCATGGATATTGTTGCATGAAGACATTAGTAAAACACAACTGACAGTTAAAATGTGAAAATTGCTGGAGTGCCTGGGAGGCTCAGTCACTTAAGAATCCAACTCTTGATTTTGACTCAGGTTGTGATCTCATGGTTCATAGGATCAAACCCTGTTTCGGGCTCTGTGTTGACAGCAGGGAGTCTGCTTAGAGTTCTCTCTCTCTGCCCCTGCACTGCTGGTGTTCTCTCTCTCCCTCTCAAAATAAAAAAACATGTAGAAAGAAAAGAAATGTGAAAATTATCTCCTTTACAACTTTGCAGATATGTTGGCAAATAATTTTGCTCTCAGACAACATTGTATCATGAAGGATTTGTCAATTGTTTATGGAACAGATTGATTTCACAGGTTTATTTGAGCCAGTGACCCTTCAACAATGGACACTCAGCACTTTATAGAGACTCTGAGAAGTCTAGATTAAGGAATGGAACAAGGATGTATTTCAATTTAGGATTCATTGGAAGGAAGAATCTATAAAGCTATAAGGTTGGTCCCTGAGTATCTGTTTCAGTGTCTTCAATCCAGTATAACTTTGAATACAATTAGCCATAAACAAGGGCAGAGCGATATTTTCTCTTTTCCAGAAGTGGGCCACAGCCAAGGCTATCACCTCAGATGAAAATCAAATGATTTACCACAAGAAAAGTTTCCATCTCCTTTTATCCACGGTTAGGAGTAGGGGACCATGTGTGACAAGTTTGTTCAGGATGCTAATGTTGCCATCAGATTCTAAGTCACAGGATGCAAAGTGATGGTCTGAAGACCAAATCTGGCCTGCAGATGTATTTTATTTGATCCACTCAATTTTTTTCATGGGATTAGTTGCCAATATAAAAAGTCAGGAGAATGCACACAGAACCCTGGTTTTCTCTCCACCACCCACCTTAAAAAAAAAAAAAAGATCTAGCACATTGAACCTATAATCCCAAATTATCATGACAATTAGCTGGTGTTGAAGTTCAAAGTCCCATGACTGCCTGTTTTCACATCAGTCTCCCACCCCTGCCTGTTTTCACTCTGATACAGACGAGTTTCGATTTGCAGTTCCTCATCATCCTGTGTGGTTTTCTTTCTTACAGTCTTCCCACTTCATCTATTTATTTCATCTATTTGGGTCCTGAATGTAACTATCCTCTGAAACAAGGGTCACAAGCATTCTTGTTAAATTTCCATCCTTGTGGCTAGGAGTAAATATGCAAGTGTTTTGATTGTAGCTCTACCTTGGTTCCAAGTCAGCTGGATGATCACGTTAGTTCCACTTAAACTTCTGTTTGATTGTGGTCACTGAACAGGGGGTGGCATCAGAAAAAGGACATGTTGTGTGCTTCCTTCAGCAGCACATATACTAACATTGGAATGATTCAGAGAAGATTAGGATAGCCCCTGCACAAGGAGAGAAAGGACAAGTGGAGTGAAAGAATCAGTTATTTCTGTGACTCTGTATAAGTAGGATTTTCAAAAGAAGAGGAAGACTCATCTGAATGTGTACAATGTCCATCAATATTACATTGCATGTTGTATATTTACGTATACAATTAGTGCTATATATACATCTATGTAATCAGACACAAAACCATTTATGCTGTCCCCTAGGACCATGTAAGTCTTTTTAAAACTTAATTTTGCTCTGAAATTTTTTTATTCTTTTCTCTAATTTTTTTTTAATTTCGTTAGGTTACTTTTATTACCATAGAACCTATTATGAACATAGGATTAGAAATTAACAGCAAAATGTATAGAGCTTCTACCACATTTATACCCCAAATACATTGACAATTAAATACAAACAAAATGACAATGAAAACCAAGTGACTACCACTAATTTAACATGGTAGTTGATGTTGCTTTGCTGAAATAAGCATCAACCAGGACATTTACTTTCTGATACGGGACTTGTGATGCAATCATACTGTGCAAGTCCCTAATACCTTTTCTGAAATCATTGGGGCAAGATGTAATAGGGAATTTTGAATTTTTCTTAGTTTAGAAAGGGGCATGTGCAATAAATACACTAATATTTTATAGTGTGCTATGTGAATATTCAAAGTGAGTGGGATAATTAAAACTCTAAATAGCCTAATGTTAGTGTGGGTCAGGCTTCAAACCTAATGAGTGTATCACAAGTTTATAAAACATGGCTAGAACATTTAACAAGTTTTTTTTTCTTGTATAGTTTATTATCAAGTTCTTTTCCATATAACACCCAGTGCTCATCCCAACAAGTGCCCTCCTCCATGCCCATCATCCCTTTCCCCCCTTGCCCACCCCCATCAACCCTCAGTTTGTTCTCAGTATTAAGAGTCTCTTATAGTTTGCCTCCCTCCCTCTCCTTAACTATTGTTCCCCCTTCCCTCCCCCATAGTCCTCTGTTAAGTTTCTCCTGATCCATATATGAGTGAAAACATATGGTATCTGTCCTTCTCTACCTGACTTATTTCACTTAGCATAACACCTCTGAGTATCATCCATGTTGCTACAAATGGCCAGATTTCATTCTTTCTCATTACCATGTAGTATTCCATTGTATAGATAAACCACATCTTCTTGATCCATTTGTCGGTTGATGGACATTTAGGCTCTTTCCATGATTTGGCTATTGGAACATTCAACAAGTTCTATGGCCTTCAGAGAATTATTTAAATGTAGTGGTCTCATCTATGAACTAATTTAATTAGATTAGAGGAACTAGCCCATGACCTGCAGAAAGAAAACCAGGATGTTTTTTCTTTAAATTTTTAAATGTTTTATTTATTTTTGAGAGAGAGAGAGAGAGAGAGAGAGCATGAGAAGGGGAGGGTCAGAGAGAGAGGGAGACACAGATTCCGAAGACAGGCTCCAGGCTCTGAGCTAGCTGTTAGCACAGACCCTGAGGCGGGGCTCAAACCCACGAACCACAGGATCATGACCTGAGCCGAAGTCAGATGCTTAACTGACTGAGCCACCCAGGCGCCCCTAAACCAGGATGTTTCTGCATGGCACTAGAAGTTGCAGAATAAATACTGTACTTATGATAAGTGGGCTCCTTTCTTAAGTAGGCATATGCCATGTACAGTGCCAAACTATAGGTTAAAATAAGGACCCAGAGATAAATGATGCCAATATCTGGACTCAGGGACCTCATATCCAGCAGGAGAGACAGACCTGCCAATGAACCCCTGATAATTCAGTGTAGTGAGAGTAACAGTATCTGCATTTGGAAAATGCAAAATGATGCCCTAAATGGGGGGAGACTGGGGCACACTTTTATTGGTCAGTGATACTGGTATTGGAGTGGGTTTTGAAGGATGAATAGGAATTCACAAGACAGTGGGGTATTATTAAAATCAATCTAACCTTTTAGAGACAAATGAACTAATATTGTAGAGGGCACTTGAAGAGAAATCAATTCTCCTTTGATGTTTACCAGCTGAATCATTTATAGCCTATTCTGAGCCAATGCCCAACCCAATGTTAATGCTCTCCTGCACCAGGCATGAAGGTAGAGCACACATCAGTTTGTGGCATCTCTTTTCTCTGTAGGGAAGAACATGCAGTTCTCGGGTCCCACTTTGGTCCTACTTGCTTTCTAATATTGAAAATGCTAAGTGAACCAGATTCTTATCTATTTATTAAGACATTCGCTGGGTTCTCTAAGACATGTGGCTTCTCCACCCTTTCCCCTCCTTCCTGTAACCCCCCAACCAGTTCCTGTTTGTGGGAACTTGAAAATGATAAACCTAAATCATTGAGGTTGTTTTAACTCTTGAACTTTTCATTGATCGGCCTCTCCCCAAAGGAATGAATTAATCAGAGTAATTCCTTGAATGCAATGCGAAACCTCTGCGGGTAGTGGGCTGGCATACACAGAGGGCTCCCTAGCACAGCCTCGATTCATAAGGGGCTCCACTGAAGGACTGATGGTTAGCATAAATTTAAACAAAGTTTCTCTAAATACCTATTTAGCATTTATTCAACAGAAAGGCAGAAAACTGCATGGAGACTGGGCAGGGAAAAAAGACTTTGGTGACTGCAGTTTGTGTCACCCCTAAAATTCTCTGTGGTCCCTCTTCTCGCCCTCTCTCTATGGCAGAAGTGAGGCCCCAAAGAGAAATGGGAGCAAATTTTTTAGAAGGCCACTCATCAATCGACTAATGTTACTGTACATGTTCCTTGGAAATCCCACCCCTCATCCCCAAGTGGCCTGTAGAATAAACTTTCAAATTTATGCAGTAGACCCCTGACTCCCTGAGAAGAACCCAGGAAAGCAGAATTGTCTTCATATTACAGTGCCCACTTGCAGTGCCATTTGGGTGACCCTTTCAGTTGGTACCTTGCTGCCATCCCTAAGGATCAATCCTAATCTCTCCTAGAATTCCATGAGGAGAGCTTCTGAAGAAATAAAGACATCCACATGAACATTTCTATTCTGAACAAAGCAGGCTCACCCCCAAACCCTTGTAAATTGTATCTGAAAAAGGAATTGTGAAGCTGATTCATCTCTTTCAGATTGGATAGAAAGATGCCTGGTGCTAGTGACAGAAAGATGAGAACATTATCATCCCTGACTCTCATTCTAGATTAATCACTGGGCATTGCAATTTGACCAAATTCCCAATGTTAAAATGACAGTTGTGTTATGGTTTTTCCCATATTCCTTCAAGAAACTCAGCTGAGTGATGTTTCAAGTGTCAACACTGCCCAAACAGTGTGGTTTGGGGGCTCAAGTCATCACGAAAGGCAAGGGATGGGCTTTTCTTGGTGATGCATTCATGTTCCAGCACACAGCGCGTCTGGAGTGCTGGTGCAGAATCTGTAATGTAATGTCTGCATTTTGGCATCTCAATCAGTGTTCACTGCACTGCTCTCCTTCACAGTTTGTGGTATAGTTCCCCTTCACCACATTCACACCTGTCTGTGCAAAAGGCTTGCATAATGCAGAGTGTGGTTTAAGATGTGTGAAAACTTCATCCAGATCTTGGGAGATTGCCCATTTGTCTTTGATCTCAAAGCCAGTCAAGGAGAAAAACTATGTCTATTTCTAATTGGAGCCGTATGCAAGCTCAAAAGAGATACATCCTTACAAAAAAAGCTCAAGAAAAAGAAAGCAAGATAAACTTTCTTTACAGCACTTTGTCACAGATTTTTCCACTTTAAGTGTGTTTTCAATCCAGAGTGGTGTAAATGAAGGCAGCTGTAGATATGACTGAGGACTGTGCATGAAGGAAGCAAAGCAGGAGATTCTTTGATATGCTGGGGAGCAAGAGGGGAGGTGGATGGAGCAGTCAAGAAGGTAAAAGGTTGCCTTTGACAACATGAGTCTTCACCAGAGTCCCAGTGCAGATTTCTTGTGAGAACTGGTCAACAGGCTGAGTTCTGTGCATGGCTGTCACAGAGCACAAGTGGAATGGTGTGCAAGGGCCAGCAGAAGTCAGAGAGGAGCCAGAAGAAAAGATGGGATGTTCTAGGGACTCATAGGAAAAGATAGGCACCATCACAGGCCATGTCACTGGAGTCCAGGCTGAGTTTGAACAGATTTGCAAGACTCAGAAGCTTCTAGGCTGCATTGGGGCTTTCCATTCAGTAGGTCATAGGAAAATATTGAAAAGGCCATAAGCCCATTATCTGAGGATAGAAGAAAAAAATACATTGTAAAGCAAACCACCAAGTGATGGATTAACAGCATTATACATGGAAAATACCTTACATCATAAATTGTCAGTACCCAGGGGATCCAAGTGTCCATATATCCATAGATAGACTTCAAAGAAATCCATGAACACCCTGAAATTACATGCAAAATGTTATCAATGGAAGTAACTAGCATTTATGGAATATTCACTATGTATTATTGTGCTAAATGCTTAATACATAATTATTTCACACTCACAACAGCTCTGTAAGAAAGAAACAAACCTGAAAATCAGGGACTTTGAGCTAACCTCATGAAGGTCCACATTACCCATGAGAAGCAGAGCAAGGGTGTAAACTCACAAATTATTAGCCTGTAGGCTCACCTGGGTCCCTGTAATATGCCCTCTGAACTTTGCTGAATCCAGAGTCAGATTTTGTTACCATTTCAAAAGCTGTTTCTACACAGAGAAAAGGATTAGAAAAATGGACTGATGGGCCTACTGGGACTCAGGTTCTACTCCTTTTTTCCAGGGGCCTAAACATTCCAGGCACCTTCGTGTATAATATTCCATTCCATCAGTACAGGGAGTAGAACGAGCTCCATTTGACAGTCAGAAACACTGACTTCAGAGTGGTCAAGTCACAGTACTTTTGGTAACTGGAAGTGAGTTTGAATCCTGGTCTTCTACTCTACCAACCTACTACCCAGTTCCAAAGGAACAGTGGAAGACTTTCCAAGAGGCCAAGCTGGTGGACTCTTGGACTGGAGAACAGTCATCCAGAAGGCTGGTTGAAAGATTGTCATGAGATCCATCGAAT